AAAAAAAAAAAAAAGCAAATAACTAATTTTCTGTGTGCAACAGAATATAACTGTATATGAAGTTTGATAAACAAAAGGGATTGTCAAAAGTGTGGTAGGGCATAGCTTACCGCAAAGGGCAGAATTTAAGTGTAGAATTTAAGCCTTCAAAATGTGAAGAGGATTAGCTGGAGATATGCTCCCGTGAGACATTCTTCACTTTGCCACTTTGCCAAGTTCTATCTATGGCCATTCATCTGTTTGGACAATCAGGTATCAGAAGAAAGGGGAGTTGTTAAAGGTGGCTGAAAAGTATTGAGTAAAGACAGAAAGAGATGGCTAAGTTAGGATGGCTTAATATTGACTAAAATAACACCTCAGAAGCATGTGAGAACAATATAGACATGGCATGGAGTCAAATCAGTGGATTTCTTTAATTAGAAATTAATTTGCAAATATACCTGAATGTGTTCAAGAAATCATTGGGGAGTGATCTGATTAATTAGCCATTTCACAAATTGACATTTCCCTATGTCCATGCTATTCTTGCGGAGTCGGAGTGTGGTGTTGCTGGTTAATGCACTGGACTGTAAAGTTGATTTGAACAGCAAGGTCAGCAGTTCAAGCTTACCAGTTGCTCCTTGGAAACCTTATACAGAGTCGCTATGGGTTGGAACCCACTTGATGGGACTTAACAACAACAACGCTATTCTTGCAGGTACACGTCCTAATTTTTCATTTATGTCAATTAACTGATCTAGTTGGATTACTTATCCTGTAAGAGGTTTTCTAATTTTTCCCCAGAAGGATTTTATCCTAAGGATCCCACTGTCATCCAGTTGATTCCAAGTTAGAGAAGCCATAAATAGGGTTTCCAAGACTGAAAATCTTTACGGGACCAGGCAGTCTCATCTTTGTTCCCTGGAATGACTGGTGGTTTTGAACTGCCAAACTTGCAGTTTGTAGCCCAGTGCCTAACTCACAGCTCCACAAGGATTCCCTCTCACAATGATAGAATGAATAAAGTTTTCCCAATATCACCATAGGATCACAGAAAATCTCTGCCAAATCTGGAGACGGATTGCGGCAGGGTAAAGTGAGCTGGGAAGCATTTTTGCAGACTCACAAAGCACCAGTTGCGTATTCCATCAAGAATGTCCTATCTACACCTCCACTCCTACTCTCACCTGAAATATATTTACATTTGATATTTTGCCAACTATCAATGTAATATCTACTTAGGACATCTATTCCTTGGTGAGGCAAGAATACAAAGCCTCTTCTGAGCATGCTGTCTCCTTCAATTTTGTTTCCTAAACAAGAATTTGTAGGTTTGTGAATGTAGGCAAATCCACTGAATGAAGACTATCATGAAGAAGAGAGTTTGGCAGGTTCTTTTCTCTCAAACCAGTTTGGTCATCTTATTTGTTTACTGGACAAATATTTATTGGCTGCATGCTTTACTGCAATGACTGCTTTACTGCTGTTTGTCTTCCACAAAGTCCTGTCTTCTATTCCTTCCCATCAACTCTTAGCTTTTAGTTTTGAGGAAGGGCCAGGAGCCAAGCCTGAAATGCTTTTAGACTTGTATCCAACTGTTATGTGTGTGTTGCTAAATGACTTGAATTTCCATCAAAAAAGGCAATTAGAGTTTCTGGTTGAGACTTTAAAACAATGAGTCTAGAGTAATAATGACCAGACTAGATATAGGGCTGAGGATTTTTCACTCATTATATAAGAAATGCACACTAGGACATGAAATGCTGTCTTGTTTGAAGGAAGGAAACGTGATTCTGCAGTGTTGTGCATTTCACATTGGCCTATGGTGGTCTGGGTAGGACAGTTTGTACTCAACTTGTTGCTGTTGTTGCTGTTTAGGTACCATCCAGTCAGTACCAACTCACAGCAACCTGATGCAAAACAGAATGAAACACTACCTGGTCCTGGGCTAACCTCACAATTTTTGTCACTCTAGCCCATTGATGCTGCCACTTCGACAATTGATCTCACTGGGGGACTTCCTCTTTTTCTCTGACCCTCCACTTTACCAAACATGATATCCTTCTCCAGCGACTGGTCCCTCCTGATAATATGTCTGAAGTAAGAGAGATGAAGTTTGGCTATCCTGGCCTCCAAGGAGTACTTTGGCTGCATTTCTTCCAATACAGATCTGTTGGTTCTTTTGACAGTTCATGGTACTTTCAATATTCTCCTCTAACACCATAACTCAAATGCATTAATTCTTCTATGGTCTTCCTTATTCACAGTCCAGCTTTTGCATGCATATGTTGTTGTTGTTGTTGTTAGGTGCCGACCCATAGTGAACAAAACACTGCAGAACGAAACACTGCCCGATCCTGGGCCCACCTCACTATTGTTGCCACACTTGAGTCCATCGATGCTGCTCCTTGGCCAATCCATCTCGTTGGGGTCTTCCTCTTTATCTCTGACCCTCCACCTTACCAAACATGATATCCTTCTCCAGCGACTGGTCCCTCCTGACAATATGACCGATGTATGAGAGATGAAGTTTATACTAGGCTATTGAAAATACTAACCTAAAAAAAATGGTGACTCTTATCCACCCAGAAGCATTGTGGGAGAAAGGTCTGCTGATATGCTGCCATAAAGATGAGTTTCACTCTACTGTCTCTGAGTCAATTCAGACTCATAGCAACCCTGTGTAGGGCTCTGAGGCAGTAGATCTTTATGGGAGCAGAAAGCCTCATCTTTGTCCCATGGAGTAGCTAGTAGATGAACTGCTGACCTTGCTGCAAGCAGTATAGTGCTTATCCTCCAGGACCATCAGGGCTCACAGCCAAGTAAACCCTATGGAGCAGTTCAGTTCTGTAACACATGGGGTCACCATGAGCCAGAATAGACTTGTTGGTAATGACCAATGTGTCTTCAGTGTGGTAGAAAATGCCTAGGCTTCAGAATTAGACAAAACTGAGTTCAAGTGCCATTTGCTTCTGTGTGACCCTGGCAAATGATGTATCTGCTCTAAACTATTGCCTCAGCTGAAAACCTTCTAGAATGAGGTGAAGATTAGAGAACTGTACTTAAAGCACCTAGCATGCTGTGAGTCCCATAGTAGGCATGCCTTACAAAAACAGTTGTTATTTCATTGAACTTCTGTATTAATGTAGGAACAAAACCTAACAAGAGCTCAAGCCATTTGACTCCTTTTGTTTAAGCCTGATCCTGACCTTCCAATTGAATCCAGTTCTAAACTCATCAACAATCTGAATTTAGATCAGAGGAGCTGCAGAAATCATTAATGGATGATAGGGGAAAGCTTAAGAAGATAACTTTCTTAGAACTGGAAATATTTATACCAGAGGGGAAAAGGACAGGGAGCACATAATGATCTTTGTTTTTGTTGTTGTTATGTGCTGTCAAGTTAGTTCTGACTTATAGTGCTGTGCAAAGGGTTTCCGAGAAGTGGCTGGTGAACCTTGAGGTTAACAGTCCAATGCTTATCCTACAGCACCACACCAGGATTTTTTTCTTTTTTTCCCACCATCCAACAGTATTTGTTTTTATTCCCTCTGGTTTTGTTTTGTTTTGTTTTGTGGGGTGTACACAAAAATATTTGGGAATATATAATCATTTAAACAACCAAAGGGCACATTCTGCAAGCCTGCCTCTTGGCCACCAAC